CTACCGTAACTTAATACCCCAATATTGATTGCATTTTATGGCCAAGTTTTGGGAATTAGCCGTTGGCTATCGCAAAGTGAGCGGCACAGCGAAAATCTGCAAAAATCTGCTAGCCAGGCCAAGCACCTTAATTATTTGCAAGAAACCTAATTTCCGCCCCAAAATTTTACGTCAACCCAACAACTGATGCAATCATACTCTAAAATGGAGTGCAACGCACAGGTAATCAACAAATCAAAAGCCTCAGCCAGCCAGCCAGCCAGGCAGCCAGCCAGGCAGCCAGCAAGCCGGCGCATTGACACACTGAGCGAGCAGCACAGCACAGTCCCGTCCACATAAAATTTATGGAGCTCCACCGCATAGAGCCTGACTTTGGGGACTCTAGAGCAGTCGCAGTCTCGGGCAAGCAGCATGCGTTGCCTCTCAATCTCAATCAATGCAATTCATTCATTGAGTTTCAAGTGGGACTAACACGCAACAAAATGACGTTGCAGCTGACGGCGACGGCGACGGCGACGGCGACTCCGACATCGACTCTGACTTCGACTTCGACTGCGTGAGCTTATTCGGTCAAAGTGACTTTCAAGTTTGTCTAGTCCGATGTCTCCAGAGGCGTAACAGAATAGCAACAGTTATTGGAATTAAGAAAATTCAAGCTTAAACTCAAAATGAGGTGGAATTAAAAGCATGGTCTAAAGATTATTATATTATATAATTATTAATTATAATTAAACTTACTTTGAAGGTTCTTGTCCATTGTTCATCGTTATCCACAAATATTAAAAAACAATAGCAAGCTAAGCTGCTACCAATTATTTCTGCACAAGTAAATATCTTAAAAAGGCAAAAAAAAAGTTTCTAAATTTTACTTACATCCTTTCCGTTCCACTACGTCAGACTGAATGAAATACATTCGATGGTTGTGAGCAAAACATTGATGTTTTTCAAAAGTGTTTTTCTAGCTCTAAGTACATAGCAGCCTTGAAACAGCAGTCTGAAAACAAAAATAAACAAAATACCGTCACAGCACCAGTTTTTACAGTTTTGGGGCTTTAGATCTTCTGTCTAAAAAGTTAAAACAAAAATGCTTTATATTTCCAATGAACAAACAATACTTGTTTGGATAACGAGATTAGAGATTAAATAATTAATTTGCACTTTGTTTTATTGTTGTTATTGTTTATTTACTTTTTTGGCATTTACTGAAAACAAACTGAAGGAGCTAATACTACTTAACTGCATCGATAATAAATATCAAAATAATAGTGGCAATTAATACAAAATAAAAGCAATAATTCTTGATTACAATCTGTAAATACTGCTCAGCATTGTTTAGTTTTCCAAGAGAATTGCTCTGTTTTTAAAGTATTTATAAAGATCTCTTCTCATTGCACAATAATAATAGATAAAGGCAAGATGAAACCTAAAGATATTGATAGGTTTTAAGGGCAGAAAAAAAATGCAGACGAATTGATAACCTCCTCCGGTTAAAAAGGAGGCAAACCTTATCCATAAATGTTCTTACATTTTGTAGATATTCAATTTATATACTTGTATTTATTATTATAACTTTTTGTGATGTTTATGCATTTCCTTGCGCGGAAATATTTAATAGAATGTAAGCTACAAGCTCTAACTAAAGACTCTGGCAGGCTCTCTGACTAACAACATGTTACCTTAGTAGTTTTGACTTTTGCTTAAAATTATTCAATAATAGTAATAATAATAATATTCATTAATATATTAATTCTAATTCTGAAAAGACTTTATTTTAAGCACAAAAATTATTATCATAAAAGTAGTTATTAAAATTGACAAATGGAAATTTGCAGCCTCCGCCACTGCTTTTATGTTTCACTTAACTCCCTCGTTGCATGCCACACTGTGTGTCATGTGTTTTGTTTATTTCTTGTTTGTGTGTTTGTGTTTCTTGTTTTGTGGTGACTGCGTCAACGAGCCATGCAACGCTTTTTGCGGCATCTCCCCTCCAAACGCCGTCCCCCATCCCCACCAGCAGGTCTAACATATTTTTTTTGCTGACTGTTGGCGCACGCTGCGGCAATGCGGCAATGCGGCAAGAAGTGCGTATGTTAAGCAGGCGCAAAAAAGTTGCCATTGTATGCAGAAAATGGCAGCGCATTGAGGGAACAACTTTTAAGAATCGCGAGCAAAAAGTTGCGTATGACCAGGCAGCGTTTATTGATTTATTATACGAAACATTTTGTATGGGGCAGATAATTTATTACAAATCTATTTGTGTGCACAGATAGTACGTAAACGAGTATTTTGTTGGGGGTATTTTTTCTGTGCGTGCGCTGCTGATTTATAGGGCTGTTTCGGTTAACTAAACAAAAGACTTGGGCAACGAACTTGATAAGAAGCTATTGCGTAAGCAAACTCTTTTATGGTACTAGCATATATTCTATAAGTTAAGTATACATGATTAGCCAATCAAGCACTCATTGTTGTTATTATAGTTGTTATTGTTGTTATTGTTGTGCTGCTTATCTCTGTTTATGTTGTGAGCAGCTCTTAATAACTTAATTAAATATCCATACAAGGCACAACAAGCTCATTTTCCCATGAACTAAGCTGACTTTGGCGCCCACGCGCTTGAGCGTGCACGCCTCTCCCCTCTCCCCTGTCCCCACCCCCAGCCAGCCTAACTGCCTCCGTGGCATAGCATTGTGTTGGCTGCACGCCAGTAGCCGTGACAGCGCTTGGCCCTCGCCGACCGTATTTGAACCTGTTGTCGTTGTTCAGTGTTGATTAATATCATTATAGTTTGTGGCGCTTGGCTGGCGGCGCCCCCCAGATTGATAGCGTCCGCGGCGGGTGGACTCGAACGTGTTAAATGTGTGCTGGCAACGCCCGTTGTTGAACTAACGGGCTCAAATGTGCAATTAAGCTTTCAATTTATTGTAATTGCCTCTGCGAGCCGTGTTCGGATGCGACCGCCCAGCGTGTTTTATTCCTGCAGTTGACAATTGTTTGCATGTCCACAGCGCTCTCGCTGCCTTCTTCTGGTTTCAAACGAGCACAAAACCATGCATGAAATATCACACCAATTACACAACACACACACACACACACACACACACACACAGAGACACACTGCCTAGCCATGGCGCACGCCACAAATTGTGCCAATTAAATGAGACTGAGTTAGAGCGGGGAAGGGAGGGGGGGAATCAAAGTATACTTTAAAAAATGAATGCAACGGTAGCGCGTTAATTGATTGTGTTCAATTATTTAACAGCAGTCATTAAAAATGCATGAGATTGATGTGTGGTAAGATTTATTTTCACTGCAGAGTGGAAAATGCTTGATAAGCACCACAAACTATAATCCGAATTATATATACACCTACACTCATAAAAAACACACGTAAATTTAAATATTTTTACCATTGATTTTTTGTCACAGTGTTTTTATACCCTGTACCCAAAAGGGTACAAGGGTATATTAGTTTTGTGCGAGTGCACATGGAACACACAGAAGGAGGCTTGGTAGACCCCACAAAGTATATATATTCTTGATCAGCATGACAAGCCGAGTCGATATAGCCATGTCCGTCTGTCCGTCTGTCCGTCTGTCTGTCCGTCTGTCTGTCCGTCTGTCCGTCTGTCTGTCTGTATGAACGCAAGGATCTCCGAAAGTATAAGAGCTAGAATAACCAAACTTGGTATACAGATTCTCCTGAGACCGAGAAAGGACGAGTTTGTTCATTTTTTCTGATCCACCCCCCCACTCCCCCCCTATTAACGATTTTCTATAACTTCCGTAATTCTTGGAATTTTGAACTAAAATTTGGTAGTCACATTAGGTTAGTTATTATATAACCGTATACCAAGTCTCATTATGATAGAATGATCGGAAAGAAAGTTATAGCCATATAACCAGGCCCAATGCACACATACATACATACATATGTACAAGTACACAAACACGCATAAGGCACGATTCTGATGTAAATGTAAATGTATGTATGCATGCATGGAATATTTTATATTTAATTTAGTTAATTAATTAAATTAATTTAGTTAATTAATTAAATTTAATTAATTAATTAATTTAATTACTTTTTTGTGGGGTGGTACAGGGTATTTAAGAGTTGAGCCTGCTCGACTTTAGCATTCCTTTCTTGTTTAAAACTTAATTTTAATATTAAAATATTAAATTTGAAGTGTGATTGTGAAGTTTCTTTATTTTAATTATAAAATATTTTTCCAATTTTGTTGTCAACTTTCCAAACGAATTGTCTTTAATATTATTATTGCTTTTTATTAGAAAGTAATTTACGAATCTTTTTATTATTTATAAATATTGACGTGTTCCGCTTTTTTAAGCTTAAATCAATACTGATTTTAATTAAAACTGAGGAACATCTGATTAAATACACTTACTTGATACATTCCTAACGACCATATAGGTCGAGGGCTTACACTTTTTATTTCTTTTTAGTTCTTTTCAATGTTTGCCTCTATTTTACATTTGATAGTATTGGAATAAACTATTAAAAATATTAAAATGTAATATATTTCTAGAATAATTAAATCAACTACAAAAAAAAAAAATCAAATTAAAGTTGAGAAAAATATTAAAATTTACTATGGAATATAAATTTACTATATTCCATTGTTTATTTATTTATTATTTGAAGTTAAAATTAAAATGAATTTTAATTATTTATTAATTATTATTATTATTATAATTAAATATGGTCCAACATCTAATAGAGCATGACACACTTTATTAAGAAAGCTTTGCACTTTGTTTTGAATATTATTCATATTTAAATAAGTAATTGAATATGTTTTTAGATAAATTTAAGTTTTTTATATTTGATATTAATACGAACATTTAATATTTTTAGAACATTAAGTTAAATATGAAAATATTCATTTTTACTATGCATCTTTTATTAATGAAGCTGCTATTATTCAATTTAATTTATAATTTACACACACCTCACATTTTCTCTCTCCTTGTCCTTTCAGATGCATCCACAAGTTCCCAGGCTGTTGCTGCTTTTGGCATTTTTGCAGCCCCTGCTGGTCTCTGCTGGCTATCACTACGATCGGCCCACGGCACCAACAGCGCCTGCCTCTGTGTACACGGGCCACAAGTTTGGTCCACTGCCCACTGTCCAGCCCTTGCCGCCAGTGCCGGCATTGCCTGCTCTGCCCACGCCACGCCCCATACCGCGCAGCCGCCCAGCCTCAGCGCCCGCTGCCGCTATTGCCAATCACTATCTGCCGGCGAGACCGACAGCAGTTGCCCCGCCAGCGGCCAATGTGGTCAGCCACTACTTGCCACCGATTGCCTCGCCCATCTCACAGGTCAGCTATCATGGCGTGGCGACGCCCAATGTGAAGCCCATTCCGGCCAGCGTATATGGCGCCCCTGGAGGAGGATATAGCATCACACAGCAGGTTAATCAGCAGCTTGCAGGCTCGCCCATTGTCGTTCCATCGGGACCTTCGGCCCAAGCATTTGTGGCATCGGCTCCATCAGCTCCATCCTCTCCATCCGCACCATCGGCTCCAGCCCTGTTATCTTCCGGGGCCGCGCTGCGCGTGCCCTTCGGCAAGCAGCCGCTCATTTCTCCGGGAGAGACTTACGTGGCCAATGGACGACAACTGAAGCAATATGCTGTCGTGGAGTTCATCGACAATGACATTGACCAGAGCACCTCCCCGTTCCTGCACTCCTCCTTCTTCGACGAATATCGCGCGCACATTGGCGCTTCCGGCACAGGCGCCACACCGCCTACCGGCAATGGCCTCCAGATCGACTCGCGCGCCAATGCTCTGGTCTTGGAGCAGCAGGCGCTCGGCGTGCAGTCACGCGCCCAGCAGGGCGATGCCATTGCCTTGGGATCGGGCGGCCTCGGCTACATACGTCTGCCCAACGGCAACGTTTACTTGGGCTCCGGCTCTCTTGGCTACATCAGCGGCCAGCAGCGGATTGCTTCTGTGCGGGATGCGCGCACACGTGCCGACTCGACCCCGGATGCCGTGCATTTCGGACACGGACCCTTGGGCGGCGCCGACAATTTCCTGAGATTTAAATAGGGGGCTATAATTGTAGTTTCGTTTACTGTGTACACTTTTATTTTGTTTTATTGTAAATATACCGAACTTTCTTGTGTATAGACTTAAGCTATCTGTATAATATCTACTCGTATGTTTGTAAATATTTTGTTGCCACACGCATTTTCTGTACGATCTTAAGCCTTTTGTACAATTCCTATGCGCGCATTCGGAAGTTAACAAAATAAACGATTCGATTCGCTTCGAGAGAAAACAATACCGGGAAGAAATTTGCATCTACTGTTCTGGTGTAGATTCGAGCTTGAGCGATTGTCTTTGATTTTCGCAACTTGGCGCCTAAACAGTTGAGTATAAAAGACATTAAAGTGAAGCTAAGTTAAGCTTTTCAGCTGTTGAGAATTGTTTGCAGTAGAAAAGTGTAGGACTGCCACTGTTAAATAGTGTTTGGAGACTTGAGAAAACACAATTGCCGCTGACATATCATCCTTCATCATACAACAGACTCTGTAGAAGCCGTTAAAAAAATGCCTTCAACGTGGATATTGCTTCATGGAGAATTCTATAGGCAATAATCCCTTTCCGCCGTAATATCTTTGCTGCTGTTTTCTATGCTCCAAATATAAAAGACAGCCTCGAATTGCATCAAATTCTAAACAAATTAATTTTTCAAAAAAGAAGTAATTTTTTAATTTCAAAAATGTTTAAAAAATAAAACTCCAGCTTCAATATCAAGCATATTTAAGATGATAAAAAAAAAAACAAATTTCATGTTCATATATATATTGATACTGGTAATATAAAGTCAACCACACATTCATTATTACGGAGCACTATTTCGCCTAAAAATTGACCTTTTTTTTTATTTAAATGCAGCGTGCATTATTTAATCAAAATTTCCATTTTTTGAAAAAGCGTATTTTTTTTTGAAAATGGTTACCGAAGAATATACTCGTTAAATTCAATTATACATTGAAACTGAGTTAACATTTCACTTCACTTGCTCGCGGAATGCTGTCTATTCTGTTTAATAATTTTTCTTAACATCAACTGGCATCTGTTCTGAAAATAATTTGGCAGACTCTACATGTTCCGCTTCTTGTATTGTTTATGATTTAAGCACTTTAGATTGCGAAACAATTTGTCAGACTAGTATTCTTAAAATTTCTGTTGCATTGTATTTAAAATCAGCGTGAATAAAATAAGTTAAAAAGAACAAATACTCGCTAATCAGAAGCAGCGTTGGCGATTGTTTTCGTTTTTTGCGAACAGGCTGCGGAAAGTTCTTCAAAAGCCCAATCAGCAGATTTTGAAAACTCGTTCGTTCAATAGTCAGTATGGGTCGGCAGCTCAGCTCAGCTGTTGGCAATTTGAGGAAGTGAACATTTTAAAACTATACTACCAAAACAAATTGGAGAGACACAATTGTAAAATCCACCTAATTTAAGCCCACATTTAAGAAGTACATATTTCAGAAAATACATATATAAAAGAAATTAATTTCTAAACAGCAGGGACAAGTACCTAAATGTCGCAGCCGTGCTCGAAACCAGTGCCGAAGAGCAGTGACACGAACCAGTGCCAGAAATGAGTGACCAACACTAACTTAAAATTCATATTGAAATCAGGCTGGCCGTGATACTTCCTTCTGTCAATTGTACTATATAGGCACTAATTTCGTTTAAGTTTTTATTTATTCCGATCTGTGATGCAGCGAAGACCATCAGAATTTATTATTTATTTGAGAAATTTCTATTCAATTTTAAATGTTTTTTTTTTAATTTAATAATATTTTTGAATTTATTTGTGTAATGGTTTCTTCATATGTTTTTATCTTAGCTCTGTCCTCGAACACACCGATTGGAAGATACTTTACATTTATTTGCAACATTAAATTATTCGTCTTTTTAATTTTTATTTCCGAAGCTATTTCATTTTTTAAACCTTTTTTAAATGTTTTTTTTTTTTTAATTTATTAATGTTTGTGAATTGATTTGTGTAATGGCTTCTTCATATGTTTTTATCTTAGCTCTGTCCGATTGGAAGATACTTTAAATTTATTTACAACATTAAAGTATTAGTAATTCGCAATATATTTATTTCATACGAATGCAGAAATATGACTTAAATAAAATAACCCTGTTCTTTTATTACATAAGAATAATGGGAAGATTGATTTTTGAAATGAAATAAACACGCAATCGTCAGCAGTTGATTTGTCGATTGTTTATTTATGCCTACCTGATTTTTAAGAGTCACTGTATTTTGTGGTTTTATGAGACTCCAGATCGCTGAATCGGCAAGCATCGGTGACGGCTGGTTTTCTAACTATTTTTGGCGGGTTTCATATGCATGTTTTTCTAACTATTTTTCCATCTATTTTTTATTGGTGCTTCCGCCAGCTTTTAGGATTTTTTTTTAAATTATTTAATCGAAACCAACAGCCATTCTTTACTACCCAATTATACATTAGCCATCAGCCAGCAATCTATAAAACATGAACTTAAACTAAATCATTCCAATACAAGCAGTTTCACACCCGCCACAAAACATTTTTTTTCAAACTAGTTGGCTTTTTCTATTATTAAGCAGCAAAATAAACATAAAAATAAACATAAAAGAAATGCAAACAACTCGAAAAAAAACAGGCACCGGCAGAAACTTTGTCATGCTCGGATCTATTTCCTTTTTATTGTTTTACTCTAAAATTGTACTTTTCAACAAACCGTTTTTAAATTCAGTGCTGCCACACCCTCAAAATAAGAGCATGTTAGTAAGTGGCAGCTCTGCAAATTCACCAAACAGCTGTTTGTTACCACCACTGCAAATCAGCCGTGGTGAATATAAGATTTAGAGTGGCCATCGCAAGTGACTAGCAGCTGGTTGCTGTTTTCATTCGTGAAATGCTATCTGCTCTCTTCATTAGTATTTGAAAACTCGAACGTGTAGGGAGCGCCGTTTTTTTCGCTGTTAAAATGTATCTTAGTCCGTCGCCGGGCGTCCAGCAGCAGCAGCAGCAAGAACAACACGCGAATCGCTGACGCGCGTAAACAAAGTGCGCCTGCATTTAACTAATGAAAATATATTGTTTGTAATCAGCTCGCATGCTGTGAAGCGTTTATAATAATTGTGCATTCTGCAAAAAAATTAAGTCTGCGCATTTTCGCAGCTCGTCTACGTGTATGAATATTTGCGTACGTGTGCGTGTGTGTGTGTGTGTGTGCGGTCCAGTTTTGTGTATAACAACAAGAAAAAAGTAGCAGCAGGAATTTTTTATGTGTGTCCTTCGAAAGGGCAAACAATGCTTTTTCCTTTTGTCAGCTGCAAAATAACGCAAGTTGTGTGAATAAATTGAAATTGAAAGTGTGTGTGTGTTTGTGGAAAAAAGTGCCTGCAAAGGATTAGGCATTACTCATCACTGTTCATGTGCCCCCCCTGCGTGCCACATCCTGTCTGTATTTGGCCGTGTGTCTGTGTGTGTTCGTGCGTGGTGGCTGCTATTTTTAATGTGCGCCGGTTTTTGCAACAAGCAGCAACTGCAACAATAATAACAACAACTTGTTCCTTTAACCCCTGAAGAGGCAGCATTTTTTATATAAAACAAAAACAACAACAAGAACAACAATGGAGCGCAAGTTCACACGAGCTTTGAATAAGCCGGGCATGGCTGCACAGCTGAGAGAGACAGTTTCTCAGGTGGTGCGTGAGAGCGCCGTTTTGGTAAGTTTACAATTCCTTCTCTCTGTTTTGTTTTAAACCGTTGTTTAACTGTTGTTCTGTAATTCGTTATCAACTACTCTATGTGGGTGTGTCACTTGCATGCAATTACACACACACACACACACACACACACATGCAGGCAGTTAGGAAAAACGCAGCTATAGACAGTCTTAAATCTTCAACATGCGACATTCCCAACACACCTTGTATGTATGTACATATGTATGTGTGTGTACAAACATTGTCAGCGTAATTCCCCTCCGGCCGGCCAGTCCCAAACAAATTTTATTTCATTGGCTTGCGTCCAAAACGTTTGCGTTTTATAATATTTATGCCTATATGTTGCCATATTCTCACACACACTTAAAACATTATAATGCCCGCCGAATCAAGAAAAAATAAACCCAAAATACGTATAGTATGTTGGTGAAATACATATATTCAAATTAACATTTTCGCGCATCAAACTGTAACAAACTTAGTTTTCGGCGCATTGCATAAGCATAAATATATAGACATCGACTGGCGATCGCGTCACTGCGTAGATCGCGTCGACCGATAATTCAGCCAAGGCCGAGAGTTTTCAGAATTCCATAGAGTCTGCGGCACAGACTTAGCATCGAGTCGAAACTCTCAGTACCAGCATCACATTGTTTATGATAATTATGTTTATTGTTGCCGCCAGCCATGTGTAAATATTTAACGCAAATATACTTATGTGTATCGCCTAGAATGCTGTTGAAGATTGAAATTTATCTCTGCTTGTTCGAGTTTGCGAATTATATTGTAGGTATGCTGAATCGATCATGAAATTGGGCACGATTCGAAAAGCGAGTCCAGCTTATGGTTATTTTCTTAGATATGTTTGTATGTATTAATGCAAATATTAAACTTACATGGCACATTAACTTACAAAATCTAAAAAAATATATTAGCGATGCTAATGAATATTGTTTAGAAAAAACCGACGAGATATTTTGTCATTCCTAATTAGTTCAGCTATTAAATGAAAAACATAACTTCCATACACTTCCAGTTGAGTCAATAGACTATTTTATTTGGAGAGCCTGTTTTACGATTATACTTGTATTGTATAAAGAAATAGCCTAAGGCTGTTCTTCTTTGTGGATATTCGTTCTTGTTCTGAGGAGCTTAGAGCCTTTCAAAATTTCTATTTTGATCTTGATCATTAACATAAAAGATTGAATATTTACAAAATGTAAAATACAAGGAAAATGTAGGTAGATCTTACTACACAAAAACATCTAAACTCACGTCCGGCCATTTTCTTCCAGCCACTAACCAACCCAAATTCCATCTTTCTTATCTCATATACAACTTTAGAAAATATAGAAATAATTGTACAATTCTTAAGAACAATTTATGCAAAATTATTTAAGCTATCCAGGTACAAATTCTGCTAGCTGAAGATAACCTCTAACCATTACTTAATAATTACTTAATTAATTTTAGCCAAAACAAAATGTGTAGGAAAATTTAACCGTGCATCCATATCACCATTATCTGAAAATGTTATGTATGTTTCAATTCTAAAGTCGTGCCGGTATAATACTTCAAACTTTCCAACAATAGGCGCAACAAAACCCACATATGCCCGCACAGCGGAAATGTTTTTTGAGGAGAAACACGTTTCGGGATCGGACGATGCCATATGTGCAGCAAAAAAAAAAAATACCCACACATTTTAGGGTATCTAAGGTTCCAGCAAACAGTATTTATGTGTTGTTCAGGTACTGATATAAATATTAACACGCCCGAGATGCTCTGAGAGTTGCTGCGCACTTGCCGCTAATTACATTATTCATACAAGTATATTCCTGGGCCGCAATACAAATCATATTAGCCCATCATTAGGCCCACTTCCAACTACGGTTAACTACCAATTACCGATAGCAGTACGTGGGCGAGGGAATGCGTGGTTCGTGGCTCTTTATAATGCGTATGTGTACGCCTCTAATTCAATTAGTCTTCAATAATTACGCCTGCTCGTAAATTGTAAAAAATATAAATAAATTAAAGCATAAAGAAATCGTTGGCAGTCAGCAAAGAGACTCATTGACAGCGTCATCAAATGTAATAATAATGAGCAATAAATAGATAATATTTAATGGGCCCTCTTGGCCAAACTAACGAACCGCAATTAGCCATAACAAAATTTCACTAAATGCCAAAACATACATACCTCTTTAGTTTGTTTTAGCTGACATGTTTCGAGCACGCTCATTACCTTATCAGCGATATCTGGGCCATATTAATTAAATATTTTGACACCCAAAGCTCGGCATTTTCTCCGTACTTCTTTCTTCGGGGGTCAATTGGGTGCATATGTATATAGTTAACATTAACTTAAATGTGCTGGTTATGTTGCGTGCTTTTAATTAACAATATTCTTTTTAGCTCTTTATTTTTTAATAAACAGGCCATTGACACACTTTGGAGCTGGTAGAGTGTTTATTTATTAAATGCATTTAACATGTGTACAACTTATGACTTGCTTCTAGTTATATAAACCATATGGTAGACACATACACACGTACTTGTCTGTAGGAATGCGTTTGTTATTTCAGCGTAAATATTTGTGGTTGAGAACGTCTGTTTACTGCCCTCTCAGTATTGTGGCAGCTCATTAAAATACCTATTTAATAGCTTGTTTGGCCAAGTAAAATTTAAATGTGATATGAGCTGCAGCTGCGATATCAAATTTTTTGGCGTTGCAGTTCATTCTGAGGCCGTACTAAGATAAAAGTCCAGTGCGTAAAAGCGCTTAGAAGAATACAGAATAGGCCACAGTATTCTTGAGTATGTGCTATGAAGAAGTTATCAAATAGTTGTAAAGATAAAATAGAAGCTCTTCTCACTTCGTATTTTATGAAAAATTGCCTTTTTCACACTTACCCTAGGGTAGGCACTATCTTCTGGAAATGTGAGTATTGTTTGAAATGTCAAAGAGTAAATAAATCTGAACCATTTCTAATGATTTCCCGAACTCTTTTCCCTTCAGTTAAAGATCATATCGATTCATTGACGATCTTTGAAGATCGACCTCGACCATAAAGTGGTATCAACAAAGTTGAAATGTGTGTTGAACATTTCATACTTCCCTTTGCGATCAGACCAAACTCTATCTTCAATCATGCCATCAACTTATAAATCTGTTTCTCAATTCGTTAGTTATTATTTATTTGATCGATGAACTAATTTTTCATGTGACTTATGGTCGCTGCTGTTTGCAGAAAAAAAATAGATTTGTCAGCAACTCGAAATAATAAGGCTCTTTAATTAATTAAAGCTCAACCAAAATATGCTCTAAAAAGCTATGCCCCTTAGGGCCGGCAACAACTATTCTTGTCCACTGAAATCTATAAAGTTTCCCCAAATTTTTGCCTTGGTAGCTGGATCAATCTAGTATGCTCAAGCTTTATTTTATAGCTTGATTCGGATTTGAAATGCTGTTTTGCCCCAACTGTGTTTGCTTTTCCTTTGTAATCCTTTCTATACAACTTTTTATGCAACACAACCTCAACATTTTTTATTAAAGCCAACTCATAAATTGGCTGTTATATCTGTCAAATATGATTTATAACTGGGATGCTCGAGAACTAAGGTAGACTCAAATGCTTTAGTCATCTTCCTCAATGCGCGACACGGCACGGCATGACGTCATCTTTCAATTATGCACAGAATAAAGACAGCATACATTTATTATGAATAAATATTTTCAAACACACATACACACAAAAAGGTCCATATGTGTAGAATGACAACAACAACCAAAATATTCTGCCTCGCTGCCAACTGAAGCGCGAAGCTGTAAAGAGTCGGCTTACCTACTGCCCGTTTTATTATTTGTTCAAAACCCGGTTTGTTTGCGGTTTCAAGGTGGGCTGACTGACGTATGTAGTTGTTATTGTTGTTATTGATGCTGAATGCCAAAGGAGGGTTCTGTGTAAAGTTTGTAACAACAGGTATGCGTAATTAATAGCCAATACTTAGAAGTTCCCCCTGGCACTTTTATTTGAATTATGGGTACGTCGCAGGCAGGTGATTTGCGTGACGGAAATGCTTTTCATTTCCTCCACGACTAATGCGTAACCATTCTTGAAGAAGAATTGCAGAGAAGCACATTCATTTGAGTAGAAAATACTACGAAGACAGTTATAATTGAGGCGAAAGAAAAATGAAATAAATAGTAAATATTATTTAGATTTTTACCTCTTTGTGGGACCTATGTTGTTAGTAAAATTTTGGGGCAGGTCAAGATCTGTATAATAGTTATAAATATGTGTTGAGCTAGTAGTTGTTTAAGGGAGTTTCAATCTGATTGTTTTTTGTGCTTTTAGCTGGTTAAATATTTAAATTTAAGGCGTTCATACAGACAAACTAAAAATGTCGTAAATCTTTTTCAATTTCTTAACAATTGTAGAAGAACATATTGAAAAAGGTCTTATTCAGAAAATACAGCGAAGAGAGGCAGAAAATTGAACTACTTAAGTAGTGTATTTAAAAACACAAAGTATCTCATGGGAAGGCCTTTGATATAATGCAGCTACTATACATTTAAGGAAGACCTTCGCTCCAAATTTGTTGTCTCTAGCTTTTTTAATTTCCGCGATCAAGGTGTTCATACGGACAAACTTATATTGTTTATACTATAGGAATACAATTAGCTGGCTGCCTTTATTGTATAAATTGTAAGTTTAAGAGAGAATATGTGAATAATTTAAATAATTAATTATCTTTTTAATGAATTTCTAAGAAATTCTAATAATTTATACTGACGTTCGTTTCAAGGTAAAATATTTTGCATGCTCTGTTATTTAACGATATACTTATTTTCAAGCTATACGCACCATCAAATATTATAAGTATATGTACATATATAGTACGTATAATTTTTTTTACCTCCACATATGATTTGCAGTTTCCTGCATTAAACTTTTTTTGGTGTACACCTAGTTTTCTGTATATTTTTAATTGTT